TGAATATTTGGGTATGCGAAAGCTTTTTTTCAAAGTGGATGCCACGCAAGCTCACAATTGACCAAAAACAACAACAAACTGATGATTCTGAGCCATGTCTGAAGCTGTTCTACCATAAAATACCCGAATTTAAGCGTCGATATCCGACAATGGATGGAGCATGACTCACTTCATAACAGAATCAGAAAGATAGTCATATGAGTGGACTGCACGTGGTGAACTGCAAAAGGTGCAGAGGCGCAATAGTCGGCTGACAATGTTATGGTAACAGTATTTCGGAATTCACATGGTATAATATTCATTGACTATCATAAAAACGAAAAAAACCATCAACAGCGACTATTGCATATTGTTATAGGAGCGTTGGAGGCACTAAATCGCAAATAAACGGCCCAATTAGAAGAACAAGAAAATGCTGTTTCATCAAGACAATGCAGCGTGTCACAAATCAATGAAAATGACGTCAAAATAGCATGAATTGGGCTTTGAATTGCTTCCGCATCCACTATATGCTCCAGATTAGGCCCCCAGCGACTTATACCTGTTCTCAGACCTCAAGAAAATTCTCGCTGAAAAGAAATTCAGCGATGAATAGATAATCGTCGAAACTGAGGTCTTTTTCGAGGCTAAAGACAAATCGTACTGTAAAAATGGTGTCAAAAAGTTGTAAGACCGCTAAAATCGTTGTATCGCTCTCGAAGGCAACTAAATTGAATAATATCAAAAAAAAAGATTTTTTTTAAGTAAGCGTACGAACTTTTTAGCTCAAATGTTATATGAAAAATTCAATAGAACTAGCAGATACTTGATGAAAATCCATATTAAAAATCATTAATACAGTTTATTGTATGATTTTCACTATAAAGGGTTTAATTCAACGCTTTAGAAAGCTATTTATAGCAAAACACGTGTCGCGGTTTTTGTAAAACCCTTTATAGTGAAAATCATATGTTAGTGTTGCCAGAGAAGCTAATTACAAATGATTAAAACGCCAGGAAGTATTTATTGAATGTAACCCCAAAACAGGCATTGAAAAACAATATTATGATGGGCCCACTTCATGCACTGTTCTGATTAATTTTCTATAATTTGATATCTCTCAACTGAAACAAACTGTTTACAAAATACAGAAAACCCATGAGTAATGAACTAAAAATTTCTGAATACAATTTCAAAATTTTTGAATTCCACTTTGAATTTCATGAATATTTTCATTTTCTAAAAACAAGTTGACCTTGACAGTGAAGCAAAAACCGTATTCTCCTCAGGTACTGTATCATTTTTGTTTACGATGCGTCAAAAGTTGTTCAAGATGATTATGGATCTATACAAAAAAAAAATATTGAAAACTATCGTCCAATGAGAAAGCAATCTGAAATTTCCGGTTCAGGGTTGTTCAAGGTGTTCGCGTTGGATCCCACACAATTTGTCAATCGCTCAAGAAAGGCTTGTGTCGATTGGTCGAATGAAATGCTCAAAAAATACGATCGCGGTGCTTCGAAACACGTCTATGACATCGTGACAGGTGATGAATCGTGGATTTACGCGTATGAGCCCGAAAGTAAACAGCAGTTGACTGTATGGGTGTTTCACGATGAGCCAAATCCAACAAAAGTTGTTCACGTACAAAGCACTTCCAAGCAAATGGTCGCCTGTTTTTTCGGGAAAACTGGATATGTCGCAACTGTACCACTAGAAAAACGCAGAACGGTCAATTCTGAGCGGTACACAACCATTTGTTTGCCTGTTGTCTTCCAAGAAATCAGGAAAACAAACCTCCGAAGACGGATCACTCTCCATCACGACAATGCGTGCTCTCACACATCGGCTCGAACAACTGCATTTTTGAGCACACAAAACATCGATTTGATGAGTCATACGTCGTGTAGTCCTGACTTGGCACCGAAGACTTCTTTTTATTTCTGCACGTAACAAACAAACTGAGAGGTCAACGTTTTTCGACACCTGAAGAAGCAGGTGTTTTGTTTTGGAGATACCTAAATCAGAGTGGCAAAAGTGCTTCGACAATTGGTTCAAATGCATGCAAAAGTGTATAGATCTTCGTGGGGAATAGTTTGAAAAACAATAAAGTGATTTTCGATAATTAATATTTGTTTTTGTTCTCTAATCCCGAAATATACATATACATTCAAAAAAGCTTTAATAGACCTTCTCCTAGAAAATGTTTTTTACAATGTCGAATAATTTTTAGATTTTAATGTATAAGCTGCTTTTTCTTCAGTTTGTGCGACTAGTCTGATAAATATTGTACCAGTAATGTATATGTTATATGTATATGATATTTTAATGATGAATAAATTCTATTCTATTCTATAAAAGGCAACCCTCGTATAATGCTAAGGCTAGCAAACAAGAACAGCGACATTATGGACTCAAAAAAACATACCTTGATGCAAGATTCCCACTTTAAAGTTTACAAAACCGTTACACGTGTTTTGCTACACGATAACATCTTTGGGCGTCACAATATACGTTATAATGTATTTTCATCAGTATCGATCAATAATATTTTAAAGATTTAACGATATTTATATATTTTTGGTATTCCAGTTTATCAGTTTATTGTTCAGTTTGTCTTTTTCCTCTCTCACTGTTTATATGTTTATTGTAAAATGGCATGCCCGTAAATAAATAAATAAAATTTCACGAAGATTCAACCACTTTCAATTTATTCAGGTTGATCAAAATAAATCGTTTTTTGGGAAATGTTTTGGCTTTCCACTTCTCCATTTTTATACAAAAAATTATTCTCTCCTAAAAATATACTCCTCTCTATTTAAAATGAATTGTATTTACTTACGAAATAAAATTCACAGAACACAATAATAACATTGCTCTGCATACATTTATGAATAAATACAATTTATTACGTTTAACCTCAAAAAGTGATCATGCAATCAAAGTAGTTCAATCTCACTGAAATTTTGTATGGAATAACAATTTCTCATCCTGATTTTTTTTTATAACATTTGATAACATTCTGAAAAAAGAATTGTTTTCGCTTCAGTGTCAGCCGAATTGTCCTTCAAGAACTAAAAATATTCCTTAAATTCTTTCTCGCCAAGCACTGACGACACAATCACAAAATAAAATTCAAAAATGTTTAATCCATCACAAACTAAAATACTCCAATATAAACTAATCAAGAATAGTCACTTTCATCATCCTTAATATCAACTTCCGTAAAGTACTGAAGAAACAAGTAAAACGAAGATAAATTTACACCAACCTTAATGAAAAACATGATACAATGCTAGATCAGTCAAAATAATAAATAAAGCAAAATCGCTTAATGTCCTAGGGAATTTAAGTGAAGCTAATTTTGGGGGGTATCTCACTGAAAACTTCAAGAGACAATAATTATTATAACTGGTGATAAACAAAAGTTTTTGTACCAAGGGCTGTAAAAAAACTGGTAGTCATTTAGCTATTTGTCAACAAGAAAATCAACCTGATGTGAAACACTATTCAGAAGATTCATAATGCTCAATTCTCCATTATATATTATCTGTCAAAATTTCAATGGCATCCCTTCCCATTGTGATATATTCATCACTAATCTGAATAATATTATCAAAGTCACAAACTCACAGTTATTTTGAATGAGTTTTCTTTATCTCCTGAAGACACCAACTTGACTATTATTATTGTCGCTTGTAATGTCTGCTTCCGTCAACAATATTATGTTCAATGAAGAACGAATACTCTGGAAGTTTGTGACAGTTTTTTAATGTACATCATAATTCTGAGCGTTCTGTAGCTATTCAGTGAAACATACCTGAAACAGTCAGAAATGCACCTAACAATCTTAGTGAATGTATCCGTCACATCTAAGTTGAAGAAATATGGAAAAGTTTTTCACAATTCACTTATTCGAAAAGTTGGACAGGGAAATCTAGTCAAAATCCATGAAAAACAAATCGATAGATCAAAATCCAATTAAGGTTTTATTTGGGGCACTTGAAATTTTTCTGAGTCGGCTACTCTAGTTTAAACAATACAAATATCACCAATTTGTAGTTGGCAGAAAAACGGTGTGTCATTCAATTAATTGAAAGGTTGGGTAAAGAAATCTCTACCCACCAAAGAAATCCAGTTAGAATACATGGAAAACAACTCAATAGAACAATATCAGAAAAAGGTTTTATCCAGAGCACTTGAATTTTTTCCGAGTCGAGCAGAGAAATCACTACTGACAAAGAAACATAGTTAAAATCCATGAAAGAGAACTCAATAGATCAATATACGATAAAAGTCTTATCCGAAGCACTTGAAATTGTTCTCAATCGGCTACTCTGGTTTGGACAATACAAACATCAATTATTTGAGGGAATTGGCATAAAGTTGTACCATTCAGTTGATTGAAAATTTGGACAGAGAAAACTGTATCCACCAAAAAAACCTACTTAAAATCCATGAAAAACAACTCAATAGATCAATATCTGATAAAGGCTTTATTTGGAGCACTCAATTACAAACGAAACCCTTATCAAATATGGTCCCTTCCAAAGATCTCAAACAGGAATCGTAACAACAAAAAAGTAGTTTCACTAGGTTGATTTTTCTATAATTACTGTTTTTTTCTTTAAAACATGTAATGATTCAAATTCCTCTTGAACTGATTTGTGTTACACCCCCAAACGGTTCGTGAACAATAATGAAAAATGGTACGTAGAGAATGATTTGTTAGTCAAGGTTTTGAATATAACAAAGGATTTCATCAGAATGAAGAGCTCAGATATTTTTTGTCAATTACCTCCAGTCATTCACATTCACTGATAAAATTCATACAATTGGATCACACTAATCAAAAGTTATTCAATTTGAGAGTTTTTCAAAACCAAAATATAGTTTAGATTCTGGAATCTGAACCAGTACCCTTATTCTAGGAAAATTAAGGATCATATATACTTTACAGGAAAAATCACTACCAGTTATAACTGATTTTTAGGGAAGAGACAACATATTTACAAACGAAATTACTATAAAAATATACATTTATACCAGCTGCGATGTTAAAAATTCATTTCAATAAATATTACATTAATTCTTACTAAAACTGCTTAATTTTATATACCTTTTAAACTCTAGCTATGTACAAAATCATCATTCAAATCTTTTCATATCTCTTAGTCACTTTTACACTTCCCATGAAAATATAATCTCTTACAAATTTAGCATACTAACGAAATGGTAACGTTAATACCTAAATTTCCATTATCGGCAAAGTGTTGGGCTATAGAGTTATCGAAAACAAGACAATCACTACCCAATATTGCTGAAGCAACACCTTCATGGCTAGATCTTGGCATGGCTTCCCAAATCAGTCGTCGTCTATTTCCATTCAATTCAAGCCTGTTGAGAAAAAAAATATCATAAAAACATGAGGTGACAAAAAGAAAACAGGTTTCTTAACCCTTCTGGCAAGTCAAAACTTCCCGAGTCACGGAATTAAATGTTTCAACAAAATAGAAAATCTCACAGATACGAGCGGCAGCAAATCACTATTCAGAAATAGGCTGCAATGTTTTCTATGCAACAGAATGTATAATAACTCGAAGAAATTCCTCTCCTTTGTCTCCTCATCTCTCCCGTAATTAATAGCTCGATACTAGTATTGTTCACGATGACTTCCCTTTCGGATTAAGACACCTCATCCTGGAGGAGGATATTGTAATTGCAACTTTTACATTGTAATAAAATTTATTGGACAAATCAAACAATACAGGGTATTGTTGGATAACGTCAATTTCTCCCCAAAACTCTCCATATTTTTATAGCGACACTCCAGATAGCTGAAGGAAAGACACGTAAATATCTCGTGGTGTCTTCGTAGAGCATTGAAATCCAAGGTCAAGCATGCGCCGTAAGGAAGAAAGGAGCAGGGGTGGGAAAACGGCCTGGGACGGCATGTACCTGGTACGTTCTCTTCTCGTCCTGCCTGTCCGTTGCCTGCCTTAGTGAGCGCCCCCCATGGAAGGGAACAGAAGAGCCAAGCCCAAAAAAAGCACGCCAAGTTCCATTAAATGTCAAGTTTTAGCTCAGTGTAAGAAATCACAAGTATGGGTGAAAAACAGCATTGGATTTTCCAGTGAATCAATACTTTACATTTAGAAATGTTCAAGAAAAGGTGATTTTTCAAACCCCAATCATGTAAAGAGTTAATTTGTTCCTGTAGTATAATACAATCATCCAAATTAGAAACAGGAACATATAATTTCAAATCATCTGCAAACATTAATTTATTCCAATCTAATGTATTGCAAAGATCATTACTGAATATCAAGAATAACAATGTCCTCAAGTTGGAACCTTGGGGACTCCACTGGTTGCAATATAGTTTAGTGAGCAAAATCCATTGTATGAGACATACTGTTTTCTATTATTCAAGTATGATTTCGAAACGTTAAGAAAAATATTATTGAAACCCAAACAATCCATTTTCTTTAGGAGTATTTTATGGCTTATTTTGTTAAAGGCCTTGGAGGCAAAACCAGTTTTTGTACTACAGAAGATGCCAACCACTCATGTATGCTAAACATTAAAACATTCAGTGAGAGCCATGATCTCTTCCTTAACGAAAACGCCATCTATGAATTCGACAGAGAACTCAATCCTACGATATCTTCGATGCTCAAGGATTGAGTTCTCTGTCGATCCCATGAATGACGTCTTTGTAAGGAACACTCACTTAGGCTTGTCCTTTAAGGACGATCAAGGCCAGCAATGCATTTGTGGTTCAGCCTAGCACCATTGATGAGAACTATAGTGAGTCGAAACAGCGCCTTCTCATGTTGAATGTGTTGTGTCTGGGCTCTGGTTTTTGACATTGAGAAATATATTCAAAATAAACGTGGAAAAGCGACACATTAAAAAATAGTCCTACCTGTAAGCAAAATGTTCAGCTTGTTTACGAGATCCGATGAGTTGAACGATGGCAAAGAACTGGGTGTGCCCGTCATTTTTTTCCTGTTTCTCTAAAACCAACATGAAATGGTGTCCAAAACAACTTTGCATCATCACCCAATCTACGGCACCAGCCAAATTTATTTCAGTAGCCAAGAATACTATGTCTTCTCCATTTAGGGTGGTGATGTTCTTATGCGCGTGTTGCAAATGTACCATAACTTTGTCGAGCTGTCCCTATTGATACAAAAAAATAATTTTATGGTTATACATGCGTTTGTTGAAGGTGTTTGTCCATTCTCAAGTATAGAAATCGTTCATTTAGATTTGGAACTGAAACAGGTGAATTAGAGATGTTCATTTGGAAAAAATAAAATGAGAAAAACCATCAACATGTATTGTCCCAACTTAAAAATAGAATGTTTCGGGAGATACTAGTTTTTAGAAAAAAAACCTTGTGGCTTTCTACCAGAAAGAGGAAGAAAGAAAATAATTACAAGTATGACTGAGGAAGCTACTGTTGTAGTGAAACACGTATTGTAAATATTGTCAAATTTCATTTATTTATTTATGACATATTTGGGTCAAGAAGATTCCTAAGGCTTCGATTGTATTTGTTGTTTCCATTTCTGATTGCTTGGTTTTATATGGACGATTAATTTGATTTTTGTTTTGAAAAAAAGAAAATTTATGACATTTGTCAATATTTAATTACAAATCGTACTGTAATAATTCAGTATTAAATGAGTCATAAATAACTCTGAACATCTTCAAATCATCAGCATACAGAAGAAATACACTATAGAGAATGACAAAATTCAAGCCATTTGCAAATAGGTTTAAAAGTAATGGTCCTAAGTAAGATCCCTGCAGTACGCCATATGGAATTGTGATTGAAAAAGATATTGAGTTACCATATTTTACATATTGAACTCTGCAGGCAAGATAATTTTCACAGAAAATTTCCTGCATATGCAATTGGCAATACAACAGAAAGAGTTGACCTCCAATTTTGGAACGGGCACACTTGCAGACCGGTTTTGGGCTCATTAGCCACTCATCAGTGGAAGATAGTGGCCATCATCGACCTAAAGTCAATGATATTCCATAATTGAAAATCGAAATTCTTTCAGATTATTTTATTCCTCGTCTTGAGTTGGAGTGAACATAAAAAATGTCACTTCATCTAGTGGACGAGGTACTTACCAACTGCATATCTGATCACTCATCAGTGGAAGATAGTGGCCATCATCGACCTAAAGTCAATGATATTCCATAATTGAAAATCGAAATTCTTTCAGATTATTTTATTCCTTGTCTTGAGTTGGAGGGAACATAAAAAATGTCACTCCATCTAGTGGACGAGGTACTAACCAACTGCATATCCGTAATTTGCCCGATTCCTCTGAATAAGGAAGAAAAACTTTCTTATTAGTCAGTGGGCTATGCAAGACTGGCAGTAAACAAATCTAAAGAAATTAACTTTAAACGTTCAAGCCAGTCTCGAATGGACATGGGATTTATTTTTCAGATTGCATATACTACAATAAATGATATCACAAGAGGTAAACAGCTGATTTGCAGTACTGCACATCAAATTAACTGGTGATTCTAACAATAAATTGGTTTGAGCTCTTGGTATCATTTCTAGACGTGAATCTTAGTACAAGAAAATCCATTGCGGAAAGTGAATCCGGAGAATCAATTCTACCATTCAACAAATTATGTAAAAAACACAGAGGCTTGTTTTCTTCTTTTTTCAAGAGATACAAAATCAAATGTTCGCAATAGTTCGATATAATTGCAATATCTTTGAGAATACGCGCCAGTCGTATTAAAACCTAAATATTTCAAAAACTTCTTCTAAACTCATTCGCCAGTCATTAAAACTGTTCAACTGCTGTTGCAATCTAGTACAGTCACCTATATCGATAACAGAGGTGTATAACTTCAAATCATCTGCAAACATTAATCTATTGCAGTATAATCGTTGCAAAAATCATTTATGAAAAAAAAACTTATAGTCCAAGATTAGATCCTTGAGGGACTCCACTAGCGAAAGAATTATTATTTGAAGAGAAACCATTATAGTAAACGTACTGCTTCCTTTGACCAAGATATGATTTCAAAAGATGAATATAGATTTCATTGAAACACATACTAGTAAGTTTATGAATGAGAATCAAATGTCTAATTTTATAAAAAGCTCAAAAGAAGTCTGTATACACCAGTGTTTCACATACAAACTGATCAAGATAAACCCAAGTTACCGATTGTGGATCTAAAATTCATGAAACCATGTTGATGATCAGAAATAACGTTTAGTTGACAGGTAAATGCGGTTGTACATAATCACCTCCAAGAGTTGATATAAATTTGTAATGAAGGAACTGATCTAAACCACAAAATATAACTGTACCTGCCAAGAACAGGAGGCACCAGGACAAGGACAGCTGTAAGGTCGAAATTCGCATATCTCCTCATGCTCCGCCTTGTCGTTGAGTCCAAGAGACATTCGACAACCTGTAGATTTATGTTTACAAGGAAACATCAAATTGCTGGCAACCTTCTCCATGGCCAAATTTCTTATATTTCCTAGTGTTCCTCGACAGGTAGGGCAGCAAGATAATTTAGGTCGACAACTAGCACACACTAAATGTCCTACTTGACATTGCATAATAGGTGGGAGAACAACTTCAAAACAAACCGGACACTCAAAAAGAGCAGCAATTTCATCGGTTATTTGTTGATTGGCTGAGCTAGATAAACTAGAGGAAGTATCTCCCCCTCTTCGCTTCTGATTTACAACTTGAGCCATGTCTACGTTTCTGGAACAAGAAAAATAATTTTATGGAAAGGAGGAAACGAAATCGCACATTTGAGATAACTGAGAGGATGTTTCTTTATGCTCGTGTACTAATAGATTTGATATTTATATTCAAATATATAGCAAACTGAATTGTTGCCAGTTTTGTTAGATTCACTTATCAAAACGGAATTTGAGAGTGGAAGTATGGGAAAATGAACAACTACATTGATACTATTGAAGAATATCTATCTCCAAAACATTTGCCACTGATACGACGTTCTATAGTTCTATATAGTTACTGTCTTCCGATGGAATTACTAATTTTGAAAAGATCAGTCTCAATAATGTTCTCTGAACATGTCCAATTTCATGAAACATATTCAAGGTGAGTTATCTCAAGGAAACAGTATAACACAAAGAAACTATTTGTACATCTAGTGACTAATACATTTGGTTAAAATGAACGTACATTAGCTACAAGTAAACTCATCACAAAACAAGTTCTAGCTTGATTCAGATAATGGCAGATATGATGGGGTTCCGTTTCCTACTGAAAAGTGATATCTTTCTACGTTATATATATATATATATATATATATTTCCTTGGAATGTTTAATCACCAGCAAAAAAAAACATGTCTAGAAAACATGCCTGAAAGTCACTGATGAAACATTAAATAGTAGTAGATCCAAATCAGATCTATTGAGTACACAAGAATGTACAATTAGTTCAGAAGACTCAAAGTCATTTACACGGCAAAATGGCCTACTTCTCACATACTGATTCTCACCTACGATATGGTATTGCTTTATGGGGGTTGTGCTAATGAATTTAATATTTGTGTCTCAGAAAAGAGCAGGGCTCACTGCATACCTCTACTTATAAAACATGGAATATCAACTCTATACTCATATTCATCTTGAAAATGGTCTGCCTAATACATAAGTTCAAAATAATAACAACTATTCAAAGAGCATACAATACACGTCAAAATGATAATACGTCTCTTACACCTACAAAATCTCTAATGAAAAATTCCGTCATATTCGAAAGCAGTAAGATTTGTGCCTGGTCTCTTTAAAAATATCACAAACTATCATTTATTACGAAAGACAGTGAAAAGTGCACTTGTGGAAAAAGCCTACAGTCTTCAGTATTATTATGACAATTTGGGTTCAAAGAATAATAATAGTTGAAAAAAAATCAAGATCTTGAACCCCTAACTTTCAGGCCATCTCATTAAGCATATCTCCCAGGGATCAATATTGAATTTATTATGGGGGATTATAAATTAATTTCTAGTAACCAAATAGTAAAAATCTACCTATATTTTTTACCAATAGATAAGAATTTTTCCTAATCAAATACAAAACAAACAGAGCACATTCATGTCCCACACACTACACACATATTTATTTAGGATTTGGGGCATATATTATAGGTTATGATTATCCACTACTAATTCAAATTCAGGATATAAATTCCATTTTTTTGTTTTCCTTACATTGTTTATATAATGATCTTCAGATATGCAAATGATGATTGCCAATTAATTAAAACTTGAAACCGACAGTACGAAATTTTGTTTTTCGTCTGCGGATATTGGCCCTATAAATCATAATGGCTCAAAAGCTGAAACGATAAAAGTGTTCATTATCTTCTACAAAATTGTTTTTGCACTTGCTAAACACATTAGGGCACCATCACATATATTTATTAAACACATCACACTACCACCACCACAAACATAAATGTCAGATTTCATCCGAGAGTAGTGAAATGGGAGAAGTCAGTTTCTCCAAAAACCAACAATATAAAAACTGTCTTGATTTCTTCAACACATTTGATAAACAAGAAGAGACAAAGCTGACCTACGTCTTTTATTAAAGAAGACCTACTACCAAATGCTCATATTGCGCATTTTCCAGTGCAACACTGCAATTCAACAGAGGATAGAGTGATATTTCTAGAACAAAAATGTACAAACTTCTGAAATAAATAAAGGTCAATTCTGGGTTTACTAACACCATCCACCATCAATTATATTACCTACCGCAGTGTAATAATGTAAACAAATTTTGATGGCTTTGAGGCCTTTGGCTGATATATACTTCAGGAAAAAGGTTAGAAAACTGTTCCTTCAAAATTTTCGATTTGCAAAATGAAACCAATTGTACTTCGTTCTGAAGAATAATATTTAAAACCATATTTTCAAAAAGTTCAATGACCTAAGTTCTTCGTACAGTGTTGAGTGCAGGGTGCAGTCACGGAATAGTAAACAATCAGAATTGGAACTCTAGGCGGTGTCTTTGATCTTTATTCAGTATTTTCAGGAACCTTGATGATTATATCTTGGTGTAGATCTGAGGGTAGGCTTTGCCTAATACGTACAGAAAAGTCTAATACGTCTTCACCCCAGATATTTTGAAAATCTGCTGACAAAATATTTCAAGATTTATCGTTGAAAATATAACCATGATATTCCGAACATTTTCAAATATTCAAACATACAGTGAGGTCCTCAACAAATGGAAATTTTTGCTATTAGTTGCACACTCAAAACTAGATTACAGCCAAAAGTTAGTGTATGTTCGGTAACCCTATTGAATATACTTGGGTTCAAGTTAATCAGCGTACAGGTCTGGTTAAAAAAAATGAAATTTGTTCAAGAATAAAGTACTTGTGTTCCATGTTAATGAAAGTTCACCTCTTTCATTTACTATATTAGCAATTCCATAGCTAATGTTTGGATTACAAACTGAATAGAGAAAAGTGTTTTTTGTTTAATTCAGTTTTCATTCAAAAGTAGTGGTTCGAAAGTTTTTTTTCGTGCAATTCAATGTTTATATAAAAGTAGCTCTTTCGAAAGGGCTTTTTCTTCCAGTTTTTGTCTGAAATTTACTTCTTTGCATGATTTACACATTTTTGTATACCTACAGTTAATTTTTTGAAATTGATTGTTTTCTTCCTTTCTTTGAAAGATTCTCGCATTTTTTTATATGAAGATGGAGAAGTAGAAAGTCAAAACTTTTTTTTTCAAAAATTATTCTCTCCTAAAAAATACTCCTTTCAATTCGAAGAAATAATAATATATCACGTCCCTACATCAGTTCATCGAATCATTTTATCGTTTTCTGTGAACGGCCCTCAAGAAAAAAAGTAGTATATTCTTGTCCGGGAGAGTATGAGATACTTTTCTCCCACATACCGGGGACGAAAAATCAACTTTCCGTCAAGGTGTTAAAGTTGAAAGCTTTCTCTGAAATGACTTAACAGGCTATGAAAAACCGAGAAGTATTTATTGATAGACTGCGTTCGTTATGTGGAAAAAAAAATTCTATATACTTTTTGGGTCAACAAATGACTTTTATATTGACAATAAATAATACTAGCACATGGAAATTTCCAACATAATATTTAGATATTATCTCACCTGTTCAAATCCGAGGGATAACAAAAAAAACAATTACGTCTTTTTTTAAAATGACAATGAAAACATTCCTTTGCAGCACGCAAGTTACTACCACTAACAACGCGATTCTCCATAAAAAAAAAACTACAGTGGTCACTTTCTTGAAATTAGGTACGAATATCACAATATTACAACTAAGCCAACAACGCTCGAAAAAACTGTTATCGCCAACGTGCCAATTTGAGTTGAATTTTAGGAAATTGCACGAAGATGCGCAATCTTTCTCACCGATTACCAGTTACTATTATGGTTGCTCAATGTCCTGTGGTGCAGTTATAACCAACCAGGTACGTAATGGGGAAGACTAAGGCCTGGCACTCACAGAGCGAGAATGTTTGATATCGACAAATATTCGAACTCAAAGCAAAATGAGCGTCTTAAACGAACGTCTTATACGTTTGTCCCCAACTCTCAACTGTAGACAAGTTTTTAAATTCACCGATTCATCCCATGGATTCATCTATTGACTCAGTTGAAGCGGTAGCTCGTTTCTATTGGTTGAAGCAATCCATCAGAAATTTCATATCGAGTTTAAAAACTTGCCCTGTCAGTCTGTCTTGGTTTTGATTAAAAAAAATACATTTCCAATCCTAGTGAATTCAAAAGAGATATCCAACTTCGCTATGGAGGTTTGTAATTGATAGATTTGGTTTGTTTGACAACTGATATTCACAAAATTGTAAAATAAAAAAAATCATTTTCTTCATCTGAAGTAGTAGAATTTCCCACAGGTTCAGACATTTTCATTCGATTGGTATTCATCTATCGACACAGACACATTCGGTAAACAATTTCCCCATATATTGTTAATTGTTTGAAATTTTGCCAAACTTTTTTTATTATTGTTGAGACATATGGCTAGTTTACTTGTACTTTAAAAAAGTTATGACAATATAAATCAACAGGAGCGTAAATACAGCACACTTTTCCTTTAGAGTGTTATGTATGAACGCTCCCATTGATTTACATTGTGACACTTTTCTCAAAGCAAAATATAAAAGTAAAAATTTGGTGTCTGAATCAGCTACTTAACTGCTTCACTATCGGATTGCTGTTGAATTCAAGATCTCGCCTTCTCGCATAGATACTTGATGTCGATGAATCGATCACTTTACTTCATTTAATGGTTTCATGTTTCAATGTTGGGAACAGTGACTAATATTAGCAGATTGTATAATGGAACTTTAATTAAATTTATTCCTTCAATCAAATTCGGCCGTTGCACTAACTTTTTCGTCTAAATGTTAATTTCAGGAAAAATATAAAAAAAGATGACACCATTTTATATCTTTTTCCGAGTCTAATATTTTGTCAATAAAAATGATTACACCTTCACATCTAGATGGCAGCACTGACTGAACAAAATATCCAAAGCTTTTTGTTTTCTGGAGAATTATTTTGACATTTTGACAGTTTTTGTAGTAAAAAATGAAAAGCATGTTAGCATGTTCTGTGTCACTCGTAAAATTGGTGTACTGTGGTTGGGTTGAGAATAAATGAAAGTTGCAGTTGTATTTGATTGACAACTACTAAGGAATGGAAGTAGTTGGGTAGTTATTTTATGGGTTTTGCAAGTTTCATTTAGAAAATGTCTGGATCTATAGAAATAAGGACAATTATCAATGACCGGAACATCAATACTGTTACAGACACTCCAGTAACAGATCCTGCTTCAGGAGCAAAGGTAAAATATTTTGGAAAGCATTTTTTAAAAGAATAATGATCTGGAATAACTGTAAATATTCTCACATGTTGAATTTTGCTAGAGATTGAATACGTATTGAATACTTGTTTGAAAAATACCCAATTCAACAATTATATTGTTACCTCAATTATTGAATTACCTGATAAGTCCTTAATGTTCCATATCCTTTTAGAAATTCGAGCATGTGTGATGTGACAAAAATTAAGTCACTATCATCCAATCTTTCTAGGTCCTCTTGAGCCTTCAAGTATTGCAACGATATAACATGTATTTATATATAAAATTTGTTTCTAGGGTTTGGATGGAAGTAATGCCTTTATCTGCCAAAGATCTAAGTTGGTAAGATATACATGTATCTATGTGTATGCTTTACCTACATTAGGTCATTTTGCATTTCTTGCACATTTCTATAACCCTGTAGTATCTATGCATGTTAGTTAATTTTTCAGCTTTGCAAATGCTTATTCTGAAGATTTCTGCATTTACTTTCCAATTATTTCAAGGTATTAACATATGTAGATAAGATGACTGTAGATAGACATATTGAATCAGTCATTGACCTACCTGGTATAACAAGACAGTCCCTATGGAGTGTTTTCTTGCCATTTTTATTAAAAACTGGCTTATCAATTCTGCCACAGTGACCCAGAGATTCATTTATAGATCTATACACGTGACTTTCTTCTTCTTCGCTAAAAAATAGGTATCATCTAAAGAATTAAGAATATAATGAAAAAATTTCATTGAAAACTAGACAATATGTAGTCTTTCAATATATATTTCTTTCAGATAGGAACCAAACAAATGAATTCAACTGTAACAACTACTAATTCCAGAAATATTGAATGAAATAGAAATAATTGTGTCTTTCTTTCTTTCTCAGTTTATATACAATATTTATATGAGGAATTTGAATTAGTTGCATGTTCTTTCATTGATCCAATATTATTTATAGAAATTTTGATTAAGGTGGGTCCCTGAATTGAACCTTAAGGTACTCCATGAAACATTGTCACATTTCACTGATTGATATCCAGCATTTATATAATCGCCCACAGCAACGTAAATCAGCAGCTTACCACAGAGACAATAACAACTTCAACCGGAATATAATTCATCACATTCTTGATGAAAAACGTTTCAAACAAGCTATTAACCTCACATAAAATATATTACTGCACCTTCAAGACACTCACATATACCGGAAGAACATGTCTACCCATCTCCTTGGGTAGACATATAAAGAACAACAAGTCACAGATAGATAAGAATAACAGATCAGGGAACTACATAGAAACATGTGGATCATGTTGAAAAGTTTATGTAGGAAGGACTCCTAGAAATTTTAAAACGAGAATCTCCGAACATGAAAGAAGTTGTGAACTGAAGAAGACTAATTCCACCTATGCGTGAACAATCACGATTTCAACACTGTGTACGACATACTCCATGTAGAAGCTAAGCGACAGAATTTGAACCTGCCGGAGTCTCTGGGAATAAATAAGGGTAAATGTTTTGGTTCCCTGCTGAATGACCAACAAGAGGTCAAACACCATTACTAAACCTTTTTTCAGAATGCCAAGATTTGAGATTGTGATGGTTTTTCAAATTCTACGTGTTATCTCATTTACCATTAACTAATCAAGTGAGGTGACTATTACTGTTGTATAAAAGAATTGTAGAACCAGTGTGTGTACTATTCTACCGATGAAGCTACGGTGTTAGCGAAACTCATAGAGCATTAAAAATTAATTTGTGTAAATTGCTTAGTTACTATCATGGATAGAATGAATGAAAAGTTGGTAAAACGTTCAAAACCAGTTATAAAAGTCAATCAAAGATGGATAATAATAACATTTATTGTATTTATGACATGTCTTGTTGAGGCTGCCATTTTTCAACTTGGAAAAGGTCTTTTTTTTTTAAATATTTGTCTGAAAAACTATATTTGTGAATAATTGAAAATTTGTTAATTCAATTTTTTTTCCAAAGTGAATAGTAAAGTAATTAGTATGAGACGAAGTATCATATTTCAATTTTTTTATTTCTATTTTTTATGCAATAAAAGGTGAATTTTTGCTTTCTGTATGGTACTTTTTATGGCATTGAGACAAGGTAGAATTTATGATGTCACTTAATATCTTGTTGTTAATCCGTGAATAACTGATAAGAATTGTTATAGTTAATACTTCAGACATATACCAATATTTGTGTTAGTAATACTGAAATTGAAGAAATATCAGCCAAATCCGTTATATAAGTGAAACCCAAATACTCACTCCAAGCCATGAAATGCAGCAGTCAGAGAAACTACATTCTATAGTATACAAGAAACACTTCATGTGTCTTGAGTTAGTATAGACACGCCTGAAGAAGCTATTGCATAGCAAAACATGTGATGCGTTTTTGTAAAACTGTTTTGTGAAAATCTCACAAGCTTTTATTGAATACGTTGTGGATTTTCATCAAGTATCGTCGGAATCCACCACACGGAAAAAACACCGAAAATGCAAAGAGAAAAAAGTAAAGCAATTAGTATTGGGACCATTTGACTTCTTATCACGGTTACAAACGTGTCACACCTTATTGAAACAAGCAAATACACTTCGGTACAATCATTGTTTAAAGTTTTTTTTTATTTCTTGAAATGTTCTATATTTTTCTTTTTTTCTTAGTTTTACCGTCGGTAAAAACTTCTGGCTGTTGTATCTCTGTATCTGTAGAGTAGGGAGGGTGATTGTAGACCCACACAGCACTATCTATGAACTGTAATAATGTATGATTCATTCAGTGAATCTTTCAAAAATGCATCACCACCGCTATTCAAAAGTAAACCTAAAACTGAATGGCTCGGTCAACAGTGATCCAAACATAAACATTTGTATTTTATTTTACTATCTTCCTGAAATTGCCATTTATTTTTTGTAATGTCTTTTTTTTTTTTCAAAGGTTGTTGAGTGGAAGAATAGCGCCACGTAAAGTAAAGACCATTTATTATTATTATTAGAATGTGTTGAATAACTACATTTCTGATGAAGCTTCTTTCCTGCCAGAATGTTGAACTGAATTTTCTTCACTCCATTCAAACTCTTCAGAAAGAGCAGTATCTACAGTTTGTTAGGGATGTATAATGTTTACTGTAATTGACATGTTCTACACCTGAAAAAGTTTTTTATTACAAAGAGCTAATAAAGGATATCTATCTATCTTCAAGGTTCTTACCAGCGTACGTCATGTTCACTGAGAGCTGGCTATAGCTTCTTCTATTTTCACCGTGAGTTTCTTATCGCTTTATTGACATGAAGCATTTTCGTTTTCAGAAATTCTTCAATTTTTGTTTTAAATTTTATAAGTACGCTCAGAAAGTTAGGATTCTTGCCACTAGTTGGCGTGAAGGACTAAACGCTTTATGCAACCTTCTGTTGTCGGTGAAGATGCTGGAGACCTTAAAGTGACTGTAAATTTCTAGATTGGTTGTTAGGTATAGATCCAGGAGACTACCGTATTCTCCATCACGGTCAGGAATCCTAGTTAGCTCATTTATAATCTGAGTAAGCTCACTGCTTATTGCAAAAGCCTCAGCTTCGCGACCTTGTTCATCGTTGATATTTGAAAATTTGAGCCATTCCATATTGAGGATGTTGAAGCACCGAATATGGACATTTCGGCACTGGGATGATTGATTCTGTATCGCTAGCTGGTCGATGAACACAGTATAAGAATATGGTGATCTTCTGATATTATTTTGAACCATATAACATCACATTTTCGGGGTTCCAGCATTTCCTCTCGTTTGGTTCAATTTGGATTCGTAGAGAAAAATTAGCCAAAGTAGAGGTGGTCTCCCGGATTGAGCGAGACAGACGACAGGCGGTGACGTCATCACACCAGCCAGGTTGCTTCTCAGCTCGCAAGACAGACAGACCATCCAGTCAACCAAATTATCACGTGGTATCCTGTCACCCAGCGGTGAACCAATCAGAGTGTACCAAATTGTCACGTTGCGTCCTCAAACTGTCCAATCAGAGCACATGCTTTTGCATCTCAGAACATTGTGGCGGGAGATTTGAATCTTCTGCTTAGCTTCTCGCTCAACACATTTTTGTTTCGTGACGTCATAAAAAAAATTATAGTTATAAGAATCAAACTAAGGACGTCCGCGTGGTGGACATTGTCCTTAGCCTCTACACCAACGTAAGATATTGAAAGTAACTGCGAATGATGGGTATTTACAGTGTAAGTTTTGTCAGGACTGAAATTGACTAATTTTATATACTTGACCGCATTTTTTTTCAATTTCCGTAGAATGTTAGGGAAGTTGTAATCGTCATTATCATATCGAAGATAGGGAAATATAGGTAGATTTGGGAAAGAATTAATATTTCATATAAAGATTTGTATATGTGTGCAAGAGCGAGAGACGCGTGTGACGTAATCGAGGCAAAGAGAGATGGACATCGTATAGTAATAATCTGAAAAGATGAAAAAAATTGAAATTTGGAAAAATGTTTAGTATCAATATACAGATCACAAAATTCTCTGTCAATCACTATATATCGGTGTTACTTTATACAGAACAAACTAACACCATTAATGTAGAAAAAAACCTCTAAGGGCCCTAACATAGGATTTTGAGGGACACTTGATAGTGAAATGGATTTCTAGATTATTCAAAAAGGGCAAATGGTGTAATGATAACTAAATATTTGATGTTCATCCCTCATTAATTTGTTAAAAACTCATCAGTATATTAATTTGGCATGTTTTTGTGGAGTATACTGCAAGATATCTGTTGCGTTTCTTTAAAGAATTGTATTTAGCATCTTGTTCAGGTAGTAGCTCTGATGGAGATGATGTATCGCCACGTGAAAAAGTTCAAAAGAATTCAGATGGTATATCGGACTTCTGTGTTCGTAATATCAATCAACATGCATTTGGGAGGCGTGAGATAGAAATTGCGGAACAAGGTAAAATAATATTACTTGAAGAGCATTCTGTGGAGAATGGGGGCTTTTATTCGTATGATTCAGTAGTTTATACAACGAATTTGTTATTGTTTTCTGTATAAGCATTTATAATTTATCTTTTTTCAGAAATGCCTGGAATAATGGCTTTACGGAAAAGGGCATCTGATGACAAACCCTTGAAAAATGCCAAAATTGTAGGATGCACGCATATAAATGCTCAGACTGCTGTTTTGATTGAAACTTTGGCTGCTCTGGGTGCTAGTTTGAGATGGGCAGCATGCAATATTTATTCCACTCAGGTTTGTTTACTTTTCCTGAAAAATTTTGAATGCGTCATAAAACAAAACTTGGTTCACCATGACATCAAAATTGATTGCTGCAAATATTCTCACTACAGGTCATTCCTATTGTGGAGTCTTTCCCAAAATGGAAAGCAGTGTCAGCAATCCAGAAAACTGTGGCATTTACTTTTCAAGTGTAGGAAAAATTACAGTACTATGTTTACTAAGATATATTTACCGTCTGTTTCCTTATTTGTCGTAGGGGAGAAAATATAGAAATTATTTTGTACCATTCTCTAGTTGCCTGTGTTAAATTCGTCCAGCTTCGACTGCATTTCCAAAATTCAAATCGAATGAAACGCTTCATTAATAACAATCAACAAGTTACTTGAAATTATATGAAATCTAAAAAAGTACTCAGAGGGGTAGTGGTGAGTTGTTCTACGTTTTAATTTCAGAACGAAGTTGCTGCTGCTCTCGCCGAAGCTGGTTTTTCTGTTTTTGCTTGGCGTGGCGAGACAGAAGAAGATTTTTGGTGGTGTATTGATAAATGTGTGAATGCCGACAACTGGCAGCCGAACATGATCTTGGATGATGGTGGGGATGCTACACACCTCATGTTGAAAAAATACCCCACAATGTTCAAACTCATTAAAGGTGAGTCTGAAAAGTGGCTAAATTCATAGTCACAATTATTGTATTAGAAGAAACTAGAAAATGGTAAAATTTTTGATTAAGACAAAATAATAGGTTGTTTCAAGAGTTTTATGAGTCTACTTCAAACTGTAATATCTCATTTCAATGGAAATAGGCACCATTTGAATCAGTGCAGTTTTGCCAATGTAAGACAAGTTGATTATTCCCGTCAGAATAAAAATTGTATGCTCGGGATTCGATCAAATCGACGAAGGCCGTTTTTGTCTGGTCCTGATTGGCGAAGGTGCATGAGAACAATATTCCAAAGAAGATTTGATCTGAGCTTCATAAAGCATCAATAGTTGCTGAGGTGTGTACAGTTTTATGGTTCGAAACAGTGTTCCAAGCTTTTGAGAAGCAGCCTTTGCAATTCCAGTGACATGATTGTGCCAAGCAGGGCCGTAGCGAAAAGAAAAACCAGGGGGGGGAACCAAATTTTCCCAACTCCACCAGCAAAATTTCCCAACTTTAGAAGAAATGAAAGCAGAGGGGAAACAAATCCCTTTAAAAGTTAAAACCCAACATTTGAATACTGTTCGAAGTGAATTTGAAAAACTCATGAATTAAACTCAACTTCATTTTGTTAAAACTTGCATTTGCTGTAATAACCCAAATTGAGGAACATTCCCCATTGTCTAACCTGACATTATTATATCCAGTTCGGAGACATTTATCTTCTTGGAAAAAACCGATGCCTGGGTTTTTGTGGCATTGAATTGAATCTGGTTACTTTCATCCCAATTCGAAATCACTTCTAGATCCTCATCAAGATATGCAACCTTCTGTTGTCGGTGAAGATGCTGGAGACCTTAAAGTGACTGTAAATTTCTAGATTGGTTGTTAGGTATAGATCCAGGAGACTACCGTATTCTCCATCACGGTCAGGAATCCTAGTTAGCTCATTTATAATCTGAGTAAGCTCACTGCTTATTGCAAAAGCCTCAGCTTCGCGACCTTGTTCATCGTTGATATTTGAAAATTTGAGCCATTCCATATTGAGGATGTTGAAGCACCGAATATGGACATTTCGGCACTGGGATGATTGATTCTGTATCGCTAGCTGGTCGATGAACACAGTATAAGAATATGGTGATCTTCTGATATTATTTTGAACCATATAACATCACATTTTCGGGGTTCCAGCATTTCCTCTCGTTTGGTTCAATTTGGATTCGTAGAGAAAAATTAGCCAAAGTAGAGGTGGTCTCCCGGATTGAGCGAGACAGACGACAGGCGGTGACGTCATCACACCAGCCAGGTTGCTTCTCAGCTCGCAAGACAGACAGACCATCCAGTCAACCAAATTATCACGTGGTATCCTGTCACCCAGCGGTGAACCAATCAGAGTGTACCAAATTGTCACGTTGCGTCCTCAAACTGTCCAATCAGAGCACATGCTTTTGCATCTCAGAACATTGTGGCGGGAGATTTGAATCTTCTGCTTAGCTTCTCGCTCAACACATTTTTGTTTCGTGACGTCATAAAAAAAATTATAGTTATAAGAATCAAACTAAGGACGTCCGCGTGGTGGACATTGTCCTTAGCCTCTACACCAACGTAAGATATTGAAAGTAACTGCGAATGATGGGTATTTACAGTGTAAGTTTTGTCAGGACTGAAATTGACTAATTTTATATACTTGACCGCATTTTTTTTCAATTTCCGTAGAATGTTAGGGAAGTTGTAATCGTCATTATCATATCGAAGATAGGGAAATATAGGTAGATTTGGGAAAGAATTAATATTTCATATAAAGATTTGTATATGTGTGCAAGAGCGAGAGACGCGTGTGACGTAATCGAGGCAAAGAGAGATGGACATCGTATAGTAATAATCTGAAAAGATGAAAAAAATTGAAATTTGGAAAAATGTTTAGTATCAATATACAGATCACAAAATTCTCTGTCAATCACTATATATCAGGACACAGTAGAATAAATATTTATTGAGATATGGAGCTGGCTATAAAAACACATGATATTTAAACGAACAAAACTTTTGAAACAACCTAATAATTTTTCACAAATCCAACTGTTTTTAATACTTATATTTTGCTCTTTACAGGTGGATATTTGTGAAATTATCAGTAAATGTATTTCTGATATTATGTAAATGACCAACACAAACGCCGAATATTTAATTATCTATTTCAGTTTATTATTCAGTGGAATAATTAACACTGACACAGTCTGTTAAAAAAATTGCAACAAACTAAATTAATTAACAATCTTGAGTTCTTTTTTTTATTAACTCATGGAAAACATGCCAAACTATGTTCAAATTGAGAGTACAGGTAGTTTATGTTTGTGTTTACACATATTTTTTCCTTCCTACCATCCTGGTGAAAGAAAATATACCATGTTGTACCTGCCTAGAGAAATGGCAAGCAAACTATCACAATTTTGTACTCCAAAAACAATAAGGCACTGAAGCTAGTCAGGAATAATGAAGAAAATTATGAATACACTGACTCATTACTTGATGAGTATTGATATCACCATCCACGATAATAATAATTATACAATTTTCACAAATTTTATTCAAGACATGTTTGGCTACAGGGTAGCTTTATCAGTTCGACTGGTACATTGAACCCAAAAGTTGACCTCTCCTAAAAATATATCTCTTTCAATACAAGTGATTCATTCTGGTAAAACAGGTAGATTTTGAAAAGACAATTACAATACAATATTACTTCTAGGAAAACAGGTAATCTATACTTATTAATGGGAAAGTCACGTGACACTCATCCATCTCTGTTTCTCCCTACTGGTGAGTCCTAGAAAGCTGAAATTTAATGAATCGGTGCTTCTTAGGTCTTACATGCGCACTAAAGCAGGATTTTCAAATATTCCAACTGTGACTTCCTCCGTGGGGGTAGAAGGGGCGCGGTTACATATGAAAATTACCTTTTCATCATTGTTTCTCCGTATCGCTAAATTTTTGTAGGCTGAAATTTTCTATGTAAGTTCGTTTTATGTTGTAGGTGTGCAATAAGAAAGATTTTTCAAATAATCCAACTGGGGCTTTCACAATGGGGCTAAAAGGGGCGCTTTTACTTATGAAAATTTACCTTTTCATCACTGTTTCTCCGTATCGCTATATTTTTGGAGGCTGAAATTTTCTATGTAAGTTCGTTTTATCTCGTAGATGTGCAATAAGAAAGGATTTTCAAATAACCAACTGGGGCTTCCCCAATGGGGCTAACAGGGGCGCTTTTACGTTATATTTTTGGAGGCTGAAATTTTCTATGTAGGTTCGTTTTATGTTGTAGATGTGCAATAAGACAGGATTTTCAAATAATCCAACTGGGGCTTCCCCAATGGAGCTTAAAGGGGCGCTTTTACTTATGAAAATTTACCTTTTCATCACTGTTTCTCCGTATCACTATACTTTTGGAAGCTGGAATTTTGTATGTAGGTTCTTTTTTTTTGTTGTAGATGTACAATAAGAAAGGATTTTCAAATAATCCAAATGGTGCTTCCCCAATGGGACTAAGAGGGGAGCTTTTACTTATGAAAATTACCTTTTCATCACTGTTTTTCTATACCGGTATACTTTTGGAGGCTGGAATTTTGTATGTAGGTACTTTTTTTGTTGTAGGTGTGCAATTAGAAAGGATTTTCAAATAATCCAACTGGAGCTTCCCAAAAGGGGCGCTTTTACTTATGAAAATTTACCTTTTCATCACTGTTTCTCCATATGCACTTAGATTTCCAAGGGGTGAATTTGAATTCAGTATCAGCATTGCACCCGTGCGGAGTCGGGGTAGAAGTCCATTGTATCTCAAAGTAGAATGCAGTAGATTTGCGAAGCATAAAAACTCAAAAGTCATCTCCATAATTTATCATCACCCTCAGATGTTAGAACGGTAAAACCATATAGGTTGGAAACATGTACTGATTGATGGTTTCACCGTTCTAACATCTGAGGGCGATAATAAATTGTGGAGGCGACTTTGGGTTTTTTATGCTTCGCAAATTGTAGGATAGTTTGATGTACGCGTCCTCCAGTCTAACTGATACCGTGTAGTAAAATGCGCCTGTAATAAAATTTGTGAAAATTGTATGATTTTTATTATGAATAAAGAAAATGATTCGTTAGAAGTAGCAGGAAGTTTTGATAATGTTTATTGAGACACAACTTAGCATTATCCGGCCAATTTAGTCATGATGATGCAAAGACCCGGATACTTAGGGCATACTTTTCGATGCATTGCAAGTTATGCGATGAGACTGTCGTTTAAATATATTGACTCAATGTAAACGAGCATATTCAACGTATATATTGAAGAGAATGTGTTTCAACAATGGCTGTCTCGATGCATAATTTGTAGTGAGTAGAATTGTATGTCCCTTTGCACCAGGTCCAACATGATTAGCAAAACGCACTTCGAGAGACAATATTCTGTTCTGGTGTGGGATAAGTGTTTTCTTTAGATAACTATTCAGCTAACAGTCTACAATTCGTTGGTGTTGTGCTAAATTCTTTTCTGGTAAAGTCTTTAGTGTGGTTGCTACGTCCTGTTCGGTTTGATTGAAGTTTTGTTGTTTTATTTCATTGTAGGTATCGTTGAAGAGAGCGTTACTGGTGTTCATCGGCTCTATCAGCTATCAAAAGGTGGAAAACTTACCGTCCCAGCTATGAATGTTAATGACTCAGTGACAAGGAGGCTGAAATTTTCTATGTAAGTTCGTTTTATCTCGTAGATGTGCAATAAGAAAGGATTTTATCACTTCTAGATCCTCATCAAGATATGCAACCTTCTGCTGCTGGTTAAGATGTACCATCTATAGATTTATTTAAATCGTTTATGTATGAAATGAAAACGATCTTATTCAGCACAGAACTCTGCGGTACTCCGATTGTAATATTTGTTGTTTCCATGGTCCAAGTTACCAAAAATCTGGGAGCATGAAGGAGAATAGGTAGTATGAGTATATTAGATTTCAAAAGGAGTATTTTGTTGGAAAGATAGACATGTTTTCAAACGTTATTTTGTATTTCTACTTCAAATTCAGTTCTTTAAACAATATTCACATATTGGCAAAGTGTGATTATCCAAATTTCATAGAACCAACAAATTATGCAATCTGGTCCGATAATTGAAGATTCTCCTCTTTATCGATTTCTCGAAAATAAAGTAGAGGTAGTTCAAAGGTAGTTTAATCAAAGTGTAAGAAATGACATCGAGCACGATCTTACTATCTGCTAGCTATAAATCATGGTGGATATAGAAAAGCGGATGGTTGCGTTAATCGAACAGTGGAGTTTGTGTAATTTATTAGCAGTTAATTTTAAGGAGTGTTCGATTTTACGATCGCTCCACTCTGCTGGGTTTGCAACCATATTTACGATCGGGCGGGATAAACACACCCAANCGAGACGCCACTGGACTTAATAAATTGAATCATGTTTCGGCTAAATCAGCTCCTTGATGTTATAAATAACATTGCCAAATTACAACAAAATTAGGTAAAGGATAATTAGGATATTTACGAATAACTTTTTTTTTATTTTTATTTCAACACCCTGTATCTTGAGAACGAGAATTTGCGGACCCATGTTCATATGAACATTTCGTCTCAAAATTACCTAAAAAATCGTCTGTTAAATTTATGGTACATACTTAATTAACACCCTGTATATATAATACCCATTGAAATTTTTTTGTAGTCTGAAGCGTTCGACTGACGTAATGTTTGGAGGGAAACAGGTTGTCATATGTGGTTATGGAGAAGTGGGAAAAGGTTGTTCCCAAGCTCTCAAAGGTTTTGGATGTGTTGTTTACGTCACAGAAATAGACCCGATCTGCGCTTTACAAGCAAGGTAAAACTTACATTTGCATCCTATAACATATTTCACAAATTCTTTTTCAGCATGGACGGCTATCGAGTTGTTAAGTTAAACGAAGTAATTCGAAATGTAGATATTGTCATTACTGCAACGGGTAACAAAAATGTTGTTACTAGAGAACACATGGACAAAATGAAAAATGGATGTATTGTTTGTAATATGGGACATTCTAACACAGAAATTGATATAGTAAGATTATTTTATGCCACTAGTTTATTAAACAATTTGATAAAATTGACATGAAGTGAATGAAGAGTGTTTATGTTGTTGAACCCGAAATTTTTATTTTAGAATAGTTTAAGAACCCCGGACCTAACTTGGGAGAAAGTCAGATCTCAAGTGGATCATGTTATATGGCCTGATGGCAAGAGGATTATTCTTTTAGCCGAAGGTCGCCTAGTCAACCTGAGTTGTTCAAGTTTGCCTTCATTTGTTGTTTCTATCACTTCCGCTACTCAAGCTTTGGCCCTGATCGAATTATTCAATGCTCCTTCAGGAAGGTACAAATCAGACGTCTACCTTCTTCCAAAGAAAATGGGTAAGTTACGTCTTCGAACCAGTCTCAGTATCGACTATATTTTTCTACTTTTTCTAAGAGAAAACTTTGGCGACGTGTTTTATTTTTGAACAGTTGGGGTAGTGATTTTCCAAATGTGAATCTTTCTGATTAGTACCTAATGAATTGTTAATAACTATTCACAAAGACTTGTTATTTTTTTATTATATAAACACATTATACAAACCTGGCTTTTACCATGCTGATTATCAGACACATGTGCGTTTGTAAGATTCACTGCCAGTATAGATAGATAGATAGACGTTTATTGATCAGACACCAATTAAACATTGGATTGACAAAATTTACTAGTTCGGACTTCCATTGTCTACTATATAAAATGATTTGAAATCCCTGAAACAACTAAAACTAGACGGCTTCCTGAAACACATCAACAGCGTGAGACCTTCCATCAATTTCACAATAGAGAAGGAAATCCACAACGAATTACCATTCTTAGACGTTTTGGTGAAGAGGACCGACACTAAGTGGGAAACATCTGTATACCGAA